ATATTGTATTTATATTTTTATCAGACTATATTATGTATCAATAAAAAAGACTCCTAAATATTGGCTGCTACATATTAATTTTCCTGGGCTTGTCTTAAGTTCCAATCCGTTCCTGGTAGAGAACCGTTTTACTGTTTATAATGATTTAGCCGTTCACATTTCGAATATTTTCGACGGAATATATGAATACTTCCCGCCGATTTTGTTTCATTTGATAGAAAATAGCGATCATGAAACGAAATTAGTAAACATGTATTTATTGTTCTGTGCTGATTTCAAAGATTTCCGTTCAATATCCGTTGCCCGATTGTCGACAAAAGTACTACTGCAGATGGTCAGATGGAGCCTGATATAAATTGTATTAAAGAATCGATGGAAGACAAAGTACTGTGGAATGACTATGTAATAACAAATACGATTTCAATAATCGACAAATGCTTCAACGTTGATTGTTCAAGATTTAACTTAAATTATACTTATTAAAACTCTCTACGAATTTGTGAAGCATTATTATTGCCTGACAGCTTTTTTACATGTGGACTACGTTCGATTGGCCGAGTAGAAAATATTTTATCACTGAAGAATATAATAGATTCGCATTGAACGAATAAAAAAAAATAATCTAATAATCGTAAAAGAGGTAGATATGATTTTATCGGAATTTTACTATATGGTATTGCTATTGTACTCGAACATTGGTACATATTTGCTTTTTCACTTTTGCTTTAATCGTATCTCAATTAGACGAACAGATGAACGTAAACGTCTACGGGCACGCAAAGACGATAATCGAGTATTTCGAACACACGAAAGACAAAATGGAAAAATACGCATTGCAATATCTAAAAGAAACCATGAAATGATATACCAAAGTAAAAGAATAATTTTATCAATACCTAAAGTTTACTAATTAAACGCGAGCCTAGAAAAAGTGTCATCACTATAGTTTCCGCAATCGAGAACATCAACAAAACGGATAAAACTAGTAAGATCAGAGGAGCTTTTCCGGAAGATGTCTACGTTACGGTCACTAAGTGACCTGAAAAAAAGTTCGCAAAATTAACCACATAGATCATGTAGCCATTTTAAATGAATTGTCCATGGACAATTATACGGAAGCTATGGATTTTGTGAAAACAATTATAACGAAAGTAAACAAATCACTTTTTTTTTTCAAAAGCAACGGAAACAATTATAGTTTTACCGAAATTCCATACCAGATGTGCCGTCAAAAGATGGTTCCCGGTATGTTTATATAAAAAAATCGCAGAGAAATGACCAGCTGCGTCAAAGGACAAGTACTGAAATTATTAAATATCTCATTGAACTCGAGTTAGTTAAATCGCTAAATTTGATAACATAATGTAATTAAGGAAACGTGTTTAATATTCGTATACAATTATTTATTTTGTGTGTTCTTTGTGAAGTATCCTAAAGTTACCAAAATTCATCAGCAATCTTAAAATGATCATCTGTTCATATATAGTAATAAAGTAAAATTGAAAATTGTATATTCTTTTTTAAATTTTTTTTTTTTCTGTAGTCTATTAAAATGAATTGGGTTATTTGAATTATTCTTTCGAATATACATATATATTACATCTGCTATTTAGTTATTATTATAGATAATAACAATTTTAAAAAATGATGTAACTGACAGAAATACCTTGTATACTGTACACAACATACAATATTCTTTCTGTTGACTCGTACTATTTGTTATTTGTGACGTACATGAATTTGGCTTCATCACTGTAATTTATTGCTTCTGGACAATTTGTAAACAATCGTAAATAATTGTAAATTCAATTCTTTCAATTTTAAAAAATTTAGAAAAACTAAGTGGGGGGCTAATTTTACGTATTTCTCTCTACTTTGGCCTATCGACTTCGAAAATATTTTAAACAATAATTATAATTATGATTATAAATGTCTGCATTATTAAGAATTTTAGCAAATAAAAAATCAATTGGTAAGGCCATTTTTTCCAAATCATATCCTAACCCCACTTTGTAAATTAATTTTTAATAGAGCTTTAAAGTGTTGATTGTAGAAAGTCATGGATGCAGGGTATTAAACTTACATTTTGGAAATGGTATGCATATGTCTAATTTTTTTTATTGACTTTTACTGTTTTTTCTCGGTTAAACAGAATATTTATTTACAGTTATTTACAATGGATTTACAATTTTTTCTGAAACTATAAAAATTAATTATTAGAAAATAAACGTGTACAACGTCTATTATTTTTAAAACAGTCTTTATTTTCCAATAATTCAGTTTTCCTATACGTAACAAAAACCATATATTTCCAACAATTATCATTAGAAAATTGAGTTAGGAAATGAAAGGTTGTATATATGTATACTACACATTTTATAAACGATACAGTATTTGATGTATGCAGTACATAAATTTGATTATTATAAATACCTACTTAACGGGAATTGTATTATTCTATGATGACGTGGGTAACGTATGTGCTGACGTTTAGACGGTATTTTTTTATGTATGAATCGAAATACTCGCGTTATGATTATAATACTGAACCGTTTATTTGATACCTATAATGTTTGACCGTTTATAAACGCATGTAGTTTGTGTGTAAGATAAATATTTCTTTCAGTGGAAAACATAAGCACCAAAATGAGAATAGAAAAAAAAATCATATTGAACGAAAGCGCTAAAATCCTAGGCAGTCCTGCAGTCCCTGTTTTTTATAAATTTTACTACAAAATACTTTACTGTTTTTTTTTTTATAAAAGGTATGTTGTGGGTATTCAGTCCAGATGTCCCTTTTTTATCATTATCGAATGGATTATGGTGAGGAAGGAAGAAAAAGAGAGGGCGAGGCGGGTTGCAGATCGGGCAGCTAGTCGTTAGTGACGACGCCACGTTGCTGCTTGATTAGACTAACTTGTCTTTTGACTCCCAGTTTTACCATAGAATAATATTCTAGTACCTTAAAATACTCCATATTCTAAGACAGAGCGCATTAATGAGAAATAGAGTGTGCGGAGACAATAAATACAGAGGTAAAATTTTATGTATTTTGCTGAATAATTCCTGAGACTCTGAATGCTCTACTAATAATAGTATTTATATAAAACTCAACGAAGAGAAAGAGCATGAAGTTAATACATAAATCTTTAACAATGTATACACGATTAAAAGTTGTTATATATTGAAAATAAGAAAAATAACTTCTTGCAAAATGTGACATAACATTTGATAATGCTAAAAGTAAGATATGGTGTTTGGTATGGCTCTAGTTAATAAAGTGGAGGTGAACAATATCAAGATTATCTAGCGTAGACACGAGAAGGTCATAATCAATTATATCGAATGCTTTTTTAATGTCTGTAAATATAGTGCCAATTTGAGAACCCACCTCAAGATGGTCTATGATATATGATGAGAAGATTAAAATACTTGAAGCGGTGGATTTTCAAGGACGAAACCAATGCTCATAGTTGATAATCATATGGTCATGGCGTTTCTTGATACATAAAAAGGTAACAGGTTCAACGAGTTAGATGATATGTGGAAAAATGGAGATACGACTATGGTTATAAACATCAGACCTATTGATAGATTTTCTACCAAAAACCACTTTTGGTGTTGTTGATTAGAGCAAGTCTTTTGGTTGAAAACTTGTTTACAGACAGAATAAACCGTACTTAATAGTCCATAAGAAAACAAATACATTCCTTGGTTTACTAATAATTAAAAATAAATATATGATTAGGAAATTACATATTTTTAAAGAAATAATGTGAAAGTATTAGTCCAACCACGAGTATATTTCTAAAAAAAAAAAATATTTTTTTTTAAAAAATTGTACAACAAAAACCAAATTCAACAAAGCGGCTGTTTTATACGTATTCACGTATTCAACCAAATGTTATTTGTTTTATTACGCAAATAATAAATGAAATACAAAACGTCGTTTAAATAATCTCCGTAATCTGTAGTTAATCAAGTGTTCTAAAACGCGAAATTAGATAAGAATTTTACCAAATAACGGCTATAGATTTCACAGTTCAGCATAATATTATTCTCAATAGTGTTTATAATACTTTGTCCTTTAATAGGCACTATTCAATTAAAACGGTTCTAAATGTTATGTTACAAGCTCTTGGTCTGTTTAAAAATATTTGTAATTATAAACGGCTTACAGATTCCATTTTTCTTTAAACCAAAAGAAGACGATTTTAAAAAGCAATTAGTCGAAGCTGTATACAGATATGACCAACAAATACAACCACCTGCAGGTAAAAACTGTAAAAACCTATCACTCGACAATGGTTACCAGAATGGATTTTTATCACAAGAAATATTTGAGCGTTTTGAAAATGATCTGTTTTTGATCTTAAAACAAATTTATAGCTATTACGTAGCCAAATTACCCGATAAAAAATCGATTATTCGAGCAATAACTAAAGAATCATCAGAAAAATTTAAAATAACAATATTTTCGGAATTTGAATTGACGATTTGTTCACTTATTCCTCGGTGTTTGGATTTTATCTTGATTTGCGCACCCAAAAGTTCGTTAATACTCGCAATAGGCAAATGTCATAGACTGCTCTGTCACACTTTACCAGCGTTAGTTGCACAGATATGTACCCCGGACGAAATTAATAGTCAGATTTATTCGTGCAGCATCAAAAGAATTAATATATTACGTAAACAAATTGAACGCATAGAGAACTTGAAACCCGTTTATCTACAGGAAAATTACCAGGACTTCAAGGCCGTGGAGTTTATTATAAACGCCCATAGATGCATAATAAATATCGATAAAACAGAAATTATCAAGAATAATATACAAATGTATAACAATAAGCCTCCGATCAATGAATTTATTTTTGAAACGGTAAACCACGATTATACAAATATAAAATTTAATTTAGCAGAATTACACAATAGGGATGAAAAAAAAAACGAACTTATCGAACAATTCGAATTTTTAAATAGTAATTATGTAACCTCACAAATTCAAAATAAATGTGATTCCTCGAATATGTTATTGAACATTAACCAAATTAAACTTCCAATATCGATGATGATAAACAAATTATTATTGTACGCGATAAAGAGCTTGGACAAATTATTTAAATTAAAAACATTTCAGTTTTTAAGGGAATTAAACTTAACTAGTGACTCTTATATCGACTACGATTTTATCGTAGTTTGGATGTCGGGAATATTCGACGGAATATGCAAATATATTCCACTGACTCTTTTATATTTAACGGAAAATGGGATTTTCGATACGGAATTGTTTAGTCTGTACTTAATGTTTTGTGACGACATCATAGATTTTGTTTGTATTCGTTGTCCTGGTACACGAAACTATACTAGAGGTATAGTGCAGCACAGTGTGAATTGTATCATAGAATCGATAAAAGACAAATTATTGTGGAATTTTTATACTGTAACAAATACGATTTCTGAAACCGAAAATATTATCAACGATACTTGCGTGGTTTTGGCCTTGAGTTACGTAAGAAAGGCTTACGAAATCTTAACTGAGTACTATGACGGACTATCCGTTGATGTGTGGACTACGTTTGATTGGTTAAGTGGAAAATACTTTCTCACCAAAGAGTATTATAGCAATGCCGAAATAGACGAACTTAAAGAAACGGAAATAAAGGTAAACAACGTTACTATGACTTTATCGGAAGCATACTATTTAGTATTACCATTAAATTCAAATGTGATTACCGTGTTAACTTTTCACAATATAATTTTGTTTTATTTGGATAGACAATTCAATTTCTATGTTTACCGACACGCAAAAACGATAGTATTATACTTTGAATTTATAAATACTGTCAAAAAATCCACGTTAGACCGTTTGAAAGGGTCATTGAGTTGGTATAAAACCATCAAAGTACCGTTTTATAAATACTTGAGTTTACCAGTCAAACACGAACCCAGGGTAGATATAATCAATATAATTACCGCAGTCGAAAAATTAGATAACTACAGCGAAGTGGTTAAAATTAAAATGACTATTCCTGGTGATATTAACGGCGAAATAATCTCTTGGACCGACAATGTACTTAAGGATGCTAACAATATCGGTTACGTGAACGGTCTGAATCAGTTAATTATGTCCAATTGTTCGGATGCTATGCATTTTTTTAACACCTTCATGTCAATTGTACAAACGTCGTTGTCATCGGATAAAGTAATTGATAATGACACCAGTGATAATAGCAATAATGGTAATAATGACAATTTAAATGATGTGTATCAAAAACTCTGTTCAGAAAGCGTGAATGAAATTTTTTTCGAGAAGCTTAATACTCCAGTTCGGATGTTGAACTTCTTTAAGCGACGTTTGTCAAATCGTGATCAGAGCACATATAAAAGAACAACTGGACCAAGTTGATTTTAAAAACCGGCTGTTTACGTTAGATATTTCGTATCACATCTATTGTAATACCTATCCGTTCTTTATTATCATACGATATTCTGTGTGATTATATAATTTAATACTCTTATATTTTAATTGAAAAAATATTTTTTATTAAATTTTGGTTAGTTATGTATTTATTTTTATTTTATTATTTGAATATGTATCATTTACGTTATTACGTTTCGTATATATTATAGTTTAAATGTTTTAATTTTGTTTACGTGTATTTAAATAAACTAGCTTAATAATATTAAAATTATTGTTTTAATTAAATTGGTGCAGTTGTTAATATTATAATTTATACTACAAATTTCTCAGATTTAATTTTGTATTGGTTTTACTGTGATATGTTTTTTTTGTATGTATTTGTAAACACATTTGTTATCAGAAATCGTGCACTGATCAAAACATTGATAGGAACTTTCTTGTATCATTTTTGATCTAGTTCATGCATTGGAGAAGATATTTTTTATTTTACTTGTAATTTTCTTAACAAATAGGAAAACTGACAGTTATTTGTTTAATTTTAACTGATTTCTGAGTTGCAATGACAACAACGGAAACAAACGTAATAATATGCTCAGAACAGTGATGGATCCAGGGGGGCCTAGAGTCTCCACTAGACATATTATATTATTTCTCTATTTTTTTTTTATATTTCTATAGATCCGATATTACTGTATTTCAATCACAAATATACATGATAATTTTTATTTTATTTCAACCGCAGCATTTATGTATACATACTATTTAATATTTACATTACAAGTTGATATCTCCTTCCTATAAGCTAAGCTTGAGTCGGTAGGAGAGAGCCTATTATAACAGAAATGTTGCACCACAAGAGTGCGTCACGTTATCAAAATTGGTGCCGGACAATCACAAATAAATTGTGGTTGATTAAAGTATTATAATACTATAATTAGAACCGTAGCAGTGTCGTAGAAAACGCGGTGCGAGCGGTTAATTACACCAGGACCCTACGCTTCAAGTTCTTGTATGGGGCCTATATTTAAAATCGTTCAAGTACCTATACCAATAACAAAATATCTCGATATATGTAGGTAGGTTTCGAAAAATACACACGCTAATTAATAAGTATAATACACAATATTATATGTATATGGGCAACCTCCAACCAGCATCCAGGACCGGTAGTGGTGTAGTACACTGACTGGATTGCGGAAAGACGCAACTCGCTCGTTGACGAGCCGTGGACAATTACACGAAATCGTCATACCAAACGTAGGTATGATAATATCCGTTATAGGACGATTTGATATTTTGATAATTGTACTATTAAAAAATTCACATCGGCATAGTCGGGGCCGCGAACGATTGCGTACCTCACGAAAGAAAGAAAAATATAAACCGACAAAATATTATTGTCTCTCGAATCAGCGTACTTGAAGTTACACGACGCGTCGATGTAACCGCGGGACGTGCAAAAATTAAAATTGCTATGACTAAACTATAGTTTTTTAACTTAACAAAAATTAAATTAACTATAATTTTTTTATTAATATTTTAAAGGGCAATAGCACTTTAAATACAATAAACAATGATAACATCAAAAACAAAAAAAAGAGAAAAAAAGGGAAAGAAAAATACATACAGTAATATTATAAATTGATAAAAAGGTACATTGATTAGGTAATGTGACACAAAGTTATAAAAGTAAGTTTTAGTTTGAAAAATAATTAAAGCTTTTGACCTAAAGCATTCCCGAGATATGGAAAAGAAATCAACATTAGTACAAATTAGATTACAAAGTAAAAGCGTTCTCGGGAAAGAAGAATCAGTGCAAAAAAACCTGTTTTCACAAATGTATTCACTTATCATACTGATTTAATTTCCTCTCTTGAAATCGAGCTTCCAATTGATACAATATATACAGTTTCAGTAAAGCTTTTGACAGAGTAAATCATGACTTGCTTATATTCAAGCTACAATAATTTGTACTGTACGGTAATTTTTTTAATCGGTTAAGTTCCTACATTATTTATAGAAGCCAGTCAATTAAATTGTCACATTCAATTTCAAAAATTATTTCTGTAAGCTCTGGTATACTTCAGGGTTCGCACTTAGGCTTTTATTGTTTAATCTTTACGTAAACGATCTTCCGTTAATTTTTAATTCCTCGGTCAATATATTAATCGGTTAGACGTAAGCTAGCTGACGTATTGTCTATGATTTTCTCAAAAATAATATTGATTGCCTGATTTATTGTGTAAGATCGGTATATGTAGTACAAATACTCGATTATAAATTCAAATTTATTTTTTATACCTTTTTTAAAAAAGGCTGAAACTCATGTTAGGAGAAATATAATTAGACAATAATATGGAGCCTGTATAAAAGAAGCCTGTTGACAAAGATAAATTAAACAAATTAAGTAGAGGTTTGGTATTGGCATTTTTACATTTCTTTAAGATAGTGGGCGGCACACCATCAGGACCCACACTACTATAAACGTTAAGCGTATGTAAAGTATCGTAAATTTCATCCTCACAAATATTCCACGGAAATAGATTTAAGTTAGAATTTATGTTTAGAGCATCATAATTTGTAATCACATTAGTATTTGAGGTAAGAGGTGAGTATACACAGGAAAAAAATTGAACGGACTCATCGAAACTACTGACAGTAATATTATTGTAAAACATATTTTCAGGAATAAAAGTTATTTTAGATTTAAGCTGTTTAATGTACTTCCTAAATGGTTTGATATTAATTAAAATGTTATTTTCTAATATAAGAATATAATTAGAATTACAAAGTAATAATAATTTTTTACATTTTTTACGTAAATTGGAAAGCTACGATCAGATTGTAACGAACTTATTTTAAATTTTTATGTGCAATTTCTTTGTTAAAGTTGACTAATCTACGTAATTCTGTATTACACCAAGCAGGATTCTGGTAATTAAATACTTTGCATTTAGGAACAAACATTTCAATAAAATGTTTTATCATTTCATAGAATTTATCAATAGCAAAATCTATACTTAAATTATAAAATGATTGATTAAAATCAATACTCGACAAGCACTTTGATAAATCTTAAAAATTGAATTTAAGAAATTTATAAAAAGTTACACCGTTATTATCTTCATTGACGAATAAATAATCAATATTACAAATCATATCTAATGGGAGATGGTGGTCATCAGCCAATGGAACCAAAAAGCACTCTTTAAAAACAGTTGTATTTTGGATATTACTAAATATAAAGTCAAGAGTTCTATTATTATTATTTTTTTTTATGTAGTTTAACTGCTCTAAGTTTAAAATATGTATGCAGGAATTGACAGTAGCTGTAGAGTGAATTACGCGAGAAGAATCTTTAGACCAGTTATAATTACTTAAGTTAAAATCTCCAGCAATAAGTATTTTGTAGTCAAGGTTATTTGAAATAATATTCTCTACTAGTTCACAATGTCCATAATAAATTGTTCTACCTACAGAAAGTGGAATATATACACACACTACCAAAACTTTTATAGATTTAAAAATAATTTTTATAAATACTTGTTCTATTTCAGTAATAATAGCTACATCAATCCGTTCACATTTTATTCCAAATCGTATACCAACTAAAACGCCATCGCACCTAGTTTCTATCTCATTTAATCTATTTTATACAAAAAATATGAAAATTATTTAGACTTAACTTAGAGTTTTTTATTTTACTACTCAGCCATGTTTCGGTCAAAAGTAATAAATCACAATCTATTATACTTATGCAATTACGAAAATAAAACAATTTGGTCAAAATATCTCTTACATTTTGGTAATTAGCACGAAAACTTAAACATTCTGACGATTATTAATAACTTTATCAAGCTTAACTATATACGGTAATATTGAGATTTGCAGACACAAAAGTTAACATTTAAAACCATAATAAATTACGACCGTAACAAGTAAAACGTACAATTTAAATCGCGGAAAAGAAAGAAAATAAAAAAAAAATGTTGATACCGAGGAAACGGAGTTTTTTCACACGAAAATTGAATTTTTGTAAATATTTTTGTTAGTTGCATGGTTATACAATACATATTTGTGATGACGACACATTTCTACTTGTAAACATATTTGTCAGGTAATTTAGAATATTTTTTAATTGACAAAATTTCATGTTTCCAAATATACTGAGGAAATTTCCTAAATTGCCTAAATTAATTATCTATTAAGGAATTGCCTATACGCAATTTTTGAATTACGGGAGGTAGGATGCGTTCATTAAAACATTATTGAAACAATATTCTTCAATCGCGCCGCGGTTCTTGTCGTTAGTTATTTTATGTTAAATGGACTAATTTTATCTCCATAATAATATCATCATAATATTAATGGTATACAGTATTATAATATAAGCAGCAAAACGATGCGACTCAGTAACTTTCGCCATATTTTGATAAATTGTATACTGTTTGATCCCGTAATAATAGCTGAGGTCTCAATAATCACATATTCGTTCGTCTTTTAGTTTTTTTCAATAATATTGTACTTCCGTGGGTTTTATCGTCGGTTTAATCCTTGGCAGGTTATTATTTATCGTACTCGTCGAAATTATAAGTCGACGAATATTCAATTATGGATGTCTGTCGAACTCTGCACAAAGCACGTCCGTACCAGCATTGTTAATATTTTACGACGGTTAAGAAAATAATAATATTGTCTGTTTATTTAACAATAATAATGTTAATAAATAATACAAAATTTAAAACTTTTAAAACTTATAATTAAATTTGACTTTACTCGCTCTGTAAATCTTTTGCGTGCCTATATTTTACTATAATTTAGCGTTGGTGTAACACTATTATGTGTAACAAAAATTAAATTTTCTAAAATGTTTCAGTTTCATATAATTATACAGATTCATTTATCTACGTGAACCAACGAAAACGTGATTACCTGCAGTAAGAGTTATAGCTTAGAATAGCTTGGGGTGAAATACTTGTACAAGGACTCGGATACTGTGCCATCTACCTTAGAAGTCGTTATCTACCATGGGCCGGAAAATAAAACTGAAGGCAAACCATACACACATAAAGAGAAAAGGGCAGATAATATGAAATATGAATTAGTTCAAACAACAAACCGGGAGAAACATTGAGAAGTCCCCGTCCCTTAGACATTAATGTTTAAGCCGAAATAAGAAGAAAAAAGAGATAAGCTCAGGAAAAGGTTATCGAAACAAGTAGAATAGGTATGAAGCGTTATTGAATATTATATTGAACATTATTCGTGTAAAAATATTCTCTATTCGAAGGTGCGATTTGAAAGAATTGAACATTGTACGTTTCTGTTTAAAAATCAAAAGTTGATATAACCTATTATTATTATGTATATCTATGGAATAAGGGTAAAATTTTAAAAATATTGTAAATATAAGATAAGTTTACTTATTGTTATATTGATTTGGGATGTTTTATATATTCAACAAATTAGTAGTGGATTTTCAATATATTTCTGGGAGGGAACCTGAAAAAATCATAATATTATGTATTTAAAAGGTATCTCTATATAGATGTCTCTTTTTTGGACGTCATTTTATTGAAATTATATCAGTGTCTGGAGGAGGGGTTTAGACCCCCTACCTCACCCGTAAATCCACCACTGCAATAAATAATGCCAGTAGTAAGGCATCACTTGACCATCTCTACAACTGTCGGTTTAAAAAGCAAAAACAAAAGAGCCGATCTGGGATCCATCCCCAGTCCTCAAAGAACTGACACTAGGGACGGGTGTCACATGGTCGTAAATAGGAAATTGAGAATGTAGGATGTATAGTTATTTAATTTATGTCTGTAATCAATGGTAAACCATTGCTAACGAAAACCGATTCTGAGCGGAGTTCAATTATACATATTTTAAAAGGCCGTAATATTTACGATTTTCGTTAAAATCTGATATTAAAACTCTCATAAAAAAAAAAAACAATATTTTTTTATAGTACCTAGTAAATAAAAAATACGTGCAACACTAAAATATCTTTGAATATCTCAAAAAATGTTACCACGACTAGAAAAATCAAATTTAAATTTTCTTTAAAAATATAAACTCTCTACGAATCTAATAAATATAATAAACTAAATTACAAAAATAAAAACAAAATTGTTTCGTTCTTTTTACGGTTTTTTTTTCAATCTTACTCAATTATGGAAAAAACTAATGGTAATTTTTTTACTCTCCAATTAAATTAAAAATGCAATAGAAATGTCTCTTGTTATTGTTTTATTGAAGCAATATTTCTGGTAGAAACCATGAATCGTACAATTTTAAATAATGAAATCGGTAACGCCGCGGCTAGCCATAAATATTTGCCGTTTTACCTATAATTTTCTTTTAAGTCTTTTCCAATTATTTTTTGAAAACTCTGTGAAAATCAAAAAAATGACCTGTTTAATGCACCAACTAGATAGATTTCCTTTCAAAAAATTCACTACACTTGATATATCGGAGCAAGTTTTCTTTTCGAAAAGTTTTTTATAAAAAGAAACCAAAACACACATAGTGAAACCAATCATTAGATCATTACGGATCTGAAAGCTGTACAAATGTAATGTAAAGAGGATTTTTTAAGGTTAACTAAGGTGGTAGGTATACGTTCTTTTTATGTGAGCACCTGTTGTACTTTTGGAGATAGTCATCTCTTGTACCAAATATAATAGTTTTTAAATAATAATCTCGCTTCTTGTTTAAACAACAATAACAGTAATTACCTTATAAATAAACGTGCTTTTAAAATATTATTATTAAATCACTGAATAGTGAAAATCAATAAAAAAAACAGTAGTTCAATCAATACATTTGATAAATCAGGCGTTAATAGATAAAACAGATAAGACATTTATAAAACTACGTTAAATAATATATAAACAATAGAATCATAGACTCATTTATACCTATATTATATATATATAACTAACCTCAGCATATAGCTGAAATAAGATTAAATAAATAAAATCCCAAATCAAATTTTAGAAAAATGTGGTCATTAGAAACTGGTCACAATATTTCGAAAAATAAAGAAAAAAATGTAACGATAATTTGAACACAAAATCATATATATTTAAATTCAGTATTAAAAGTATATTATACTGTATAAGTAATGTATTTTTAATTACTTTGATTTGCGTAGGCCATACGAAATAAATAAGTAAATAAATAACTATTACCAATTCTTTATACCTTCTATACACCTACTTGTAATTTTTTTCTCAATTACATGAAATTCAAATGTGATTATTTCTTTATATTTTATTTTGCTTCTTTTCAAATGTCTTTATGTAAATCATTTCACAATGTTATATCAGTTATCTGCTGATGGCGTAAAACTGAAATTAAGTAAGTACTTAATAATTTATTCACACGACTCGTATAAATTTGTTGAACAATTTATTTTCCTTTTATATGTGAAGAAGTGATACATAATCTTAAATTGACAATGATTTATCGTTGCGTGCAGTATTAAAATTAAATAACTCTATAATCTTTATTGTATTCTACCGTCATAACTTGCCATGCACAGCAGTGGTACACCCATCAGCAGTATCAGCTATTTTAATAGTGAAAATGAGGAGTAGATAGGTAATTATTTTAGATTCTAAGCGAAACGAGGTATGTTTTGGTTTTACAATATGTTTATTTTTTATTTCACTTTTTTTTTTATCTGTAAACAATTTTTTTCCAGAAATCTTGCTCTGATGTAATAAGTCTAGTACTTTTTCTGAATGAAAATTTTAATCTAAATGGTACGTTAATGAGATCATTTTTTGATTTTCCAAGCGGTTTTTATAATAATTGGGAAAACTGGGAAAAATGTAAGAAAAACGGGAAAATTTACGAAATGTATGTATTTTCAAGTATAAACATTTATAGACTCTCCCTCTTTAGAATTCTCTTCCCTTTTTACAATTCATATTATTTTCAACTTTTTTTTAGGTGTTATTACATGTATTGAGAGCTAATAAGCAAATTTATCCCACAACAACGTGGTGAAATTCATTTTTAAATTTAATTAATACTTTTAATTCAATTCATCTATAAACTAACTTTTATTTCCAAATTTGAGCTAATTTGATCCAGAGGGAAACGCTAAAAGTGTTGAAAAGTAGTTAAGTACCGAATAAAGATATTTTATGTATTCGTATATAACAACATAATTGTTTATAAATATTATAAATATCAATTTGCATTTTGTTTTTTTTATTAAAAAATATTTATAAACACGATTGGTTGTTGGCTTTAACCACCTGGACATTTTATTTTTAAATTCAAATTTAAGGATGAATAAATATTTAAAATTTGTATAGAAACATTTAATGATTACATGTTAATAATACCCGTTATTAAAATAATGTTTTATTGTATAAAAATAATGTTTAATACACAAAATATTTCTAAGAACAATATAAACTCTTAGCATTCCTTATTCATCTTGTTATAATCTTTGGCCAAACGGAACTATCGCCAAAGTTTTTTGAGTCAGAGCTCTCATCTTTTTCTACGCTAATAGACTCGATAATAGATTCCACATGAAATACATTTTCTGAACAATACAGTTTATTCAATTTTTCTTTATCGAATTTGACTTCTACGTGTATTGATTGCTCTATAATAGAAACAAAAGTATGCACGAAGTCTAAAGCATTATTTTTATGATCGGATTGAATCGATCGTAACCGTTGTCGATATCAAGAATTTCGATTTCAGACCATTCCGACAGGTCTTTTTTTACGTTTTCTGAAATTGATTCGTCGATACTTCTACAATCGTTGTTACATACATTGTTTATTCCGTTAGTTATATGGCCTATGTTTCAAGGGTCTTGGGATTTATCCAATACGCATGGGACATACATGTATTTATAAAATATTTCCGTCCCGTGCATATGCCACTGAACATTTTCACGTATGGACTTTAATACTTGATTTTTGACGCTACAGATGTACTTTAATTTCTTTAATTATATATTTATGATTTACATGTGTTGGTAACCATTAAATTATGTTTGTAAAATATTAAATAGAACATTTTAACAGGTACATAAAAATGAAACTGTTGTTCAATATAATATAATATAATGCATGTTATAAAATAATTTTATAATAAATTGTAATACAATAAAAAGTCCGGTTTTGCATACGAGTAAAATCATTTAATAATTCCATCCCTGGTATACTTATTTCTTGGTATATGTGCAGCAGTGCAAGCCCGCATAATCGATCCTGGCCCATTTTTGAACGTAACCATGTTTTTAGTCTACAGCACAAGCATAAAACAAATAGTAAATATAAGTAAATAAAAAGTAATAGGTAGTTACTACCTAGATTTATATGCCAATGCCAATTATTTAGATATATAATAATTATTATATTAGATTATATATTACCATATGTTTTTATTATCTATCGAACAACGTCAAACCGCCAAAACGTCGTCTCACGTATAATGACGTCGCTGAAAAGTTGTAGTCGGGTTAGCGCCATCGCAGCCGTAAATATCATTATTAAAAATGAAAATATTTAATCAAATATAATTCGACTGTTAGAAGGCTATCTGGCGACCATTTTGTGAAAATTTACTTTTTGTTATATTTACGTATGTCACATTAAGACGCATACAGATAGAGTGGTCTGTGGTAACGATGCATATAATTTACTTTATCGATGTTTAAGTATTTTTGATAAGCACCAAACATTTGTAATAGTCAAACATTTGGGTCGTTAGCAACAACAAATGGTGTAAGCGACACACGAGAAAATATGAAATGGCGAATGCGTCGTTTATTATTACTTAGGACGATGTTACCATTTATAAATTTCTTCGCGTTTTTACTCGACAATATTATTGATGATCACAGCCTTGGCAAAATTATGATAATAATGTTAATGTTATCGGGCTACGGTATTTCAAAATTGTTTGAAAGTCGTAAGTGGCTAAAAATATCAAACTTAATAGTTAAGCGTAAGCACCATTTTTTTAGAAATAAAAAAACTTCTGTTTTAAAAATACTAAATTGGACGTAAGTGACAAAACTTAAGTTAAAAGTTGAGAAAAAAACAACGATTATAACAATAATATTAATAAATACAGCCGTATAATATTAACTATTTAGTAAATAGTTAAACAAAAAATATTAAATGAACTAAGAACAAGTTAATTCATAAATAAACGGTTTTTAGGCTCTTCTAAATAATTTGATTTTTAGTGCTTGGTCTTGTAACATTTGAATATAATAATTAGTGTTTGCAAATTTCACGAAAAAAACAATTTTGGAATAGTTCAACAAATATTCAAATTTATCTCAAAGTAGAAGTATTTTATCTTATTTTCAAAAGAAAACAAATATGTATGTGTTGTAATATTAGAATTAAATCGTTATTAAAAGATATAAATACTGGTGGTACGTCCTTGAAATTACTATTCTGTTTATTTAGATTAATGATTTGTGCAGCATCTCTAGGTTGTGAGCATTTTTAAAATTGACCACAGCTTTAATGAAATGGTTTTCTCTAGATATTGTGATTGATCTTAGGGCCTTCTGAAGATTAATATCTGCTATCACCATACTATGTACTTGTAATAAAACTATAATCGTATAAAATAAAATTTGTGTAGCGTTTGAGTACTTACATAGTATGCTGGTTTAGTTGTAACAGATTATAGATTATACGAGTATGAGTATTTTAACTATAAATCGTTGCAACTCATGTAATGTAACCGTTGGAATTAGTATGATACCTACTATTTTTATCAAACGAAACTTTTCGTAACACGTGATTAAATAGGTCATATTGTTTCAAGTGTGTTTTATGTCGGTTTAGAATAAAGAATAACATAAATGCAAAAACGATATTTAATAATTGTTCCCGTTTATTTGTTTAAATTGTAATATCACTAGCATTCAGCACAATCAACTACTTTAGAAAAAAATGATGCTACTGCTAAAGGTACAAGTATATCTGCAGAAATGTGATAATATTACCCCTAGAATACACGTGATGTAACACAAAACATTTCGATTTTGAACTAGCTCTACTGCTCCATTGCAAGGCGCATAAGAACAACCACCTATCATTAATTGCACTAAGGCACTATACTTGGTAAAGACTGGATTAAGTTGCATTTAAAACACACAAAAATCGCATATTAAAATTAAATAATTGCACCAAAAAAAACGTAAAAATAACATAATACATTGTGCTATAGAAATGCAAAAGTAATATAAAAAATATTAAATAAATGTTACTTTTTTAATTAAAATTGATAATCAGATACATTTCTAAATTATTTTCATTAAAATTAAATCTTCTATTACTTAAAATATGGCTGTACAAAGAAAAACTAAGTTTTAAGTATACACTAGTTATTAATTCATATTTAAAACAATTAAATAAAGTCGGCGTTATATATAAATTAACATTTGCTTTATCTGACATGTTCTCATAGTAAAAATTTAAAGTTTTCTACCCTTCAATTTTTTTCGATTACATACACACATTTTTTTTTTTCATTTTTTCCAATTTGGACCAGGAATATTTTTTAAAATATCTTAAATTTTTCTAAAAATATTCATGCTTTTCAATAATTCACTATTAGATTCTTCCAAATTTTTAAGATTCATGAATAACTTGGATAAGTGTAATTTTATAAATGCTAAACCACATTTGACTGCATTATTTTGTACAAGGTGTTTCAGCTTATCGACACTTGTAGCATCATCTGTTAAACTTGCAATCGCGTTTTTAAACTTTTCAAAATTGTTTGCATAGAAAAGTGCAGCATTTAACCATGTTCCCTATCTTGTAACAATAGGTTCGGGTGGTAAATGTATACCCGACATTTTTTTTCTGTGTTTATTCTGTATCCTCGATGGTGCTTTTAGGAAAATTATTTTTCCTGAAATAAATGAAATAAGTTACATATGTATTTAAATTTTAAATAGGTACTTAATATATTACCAATGTTAATCAATTTATTAATGTCGGGATACAATTCTCGAATTTTCTCTAGAACTCTTTTAACTGCGTGCGCCGTACATGTAATATGTATTAATTTCGGGAAAAATATTTTTAATTGTTCTGCTGCTTTGATCATATAAGTACACCAGCATCACTAATAAAAATTAATACTTTTTGTTCAATACCAGGAAATATTTTCAACGAGAAATTAACAAACTGACAAATAGTTTCATAATTGGTTCTTTACATGCATATACATATGATTTACTAGGCGTCCCATCTAATTTATCAATTAATACATTTGCAATAGCCAAACCTAAATGAAAATAGTATATTTTATTATATCAGATATTAAAAAAAAATTATTTATACAAACCTCTTGGATCGGTTGTTTCATCGACAATTATGTAAACGTAATTATTTCCAATATCATTAATTATTAGGTTCATAACGCTAATATAAATATTTGGTATGCAATCGTTTCTTAAAGTGTTTTCGTCCGGAATCGATTTGCCAGTATGTTTTTCCAAAAATGATTTTAACAAATGATTGCCCAGCTTACGCAAAAGAATATTTGCAGCAACAAATGCATCGTATAAAACTTCAAAAAATATATTTTTACTATTCGAATTTTGAGAAGTAATCAAAAGCTGTTTTTTTCATTATTCTTTTGTAATGCATTTATACGTTGCATTAAAAAAAAAATATACGTGTATTTTTGAAATAATATGTAGTATATTACGTGTAGTATGAACATAAAATAAAAAACTTACTTGTTTTGGAATGACGATCTCATAGATATTTTTTTTTCAGTAGACACAGATTTGTTACACACGAGACAATATATAAACTTTCCATCCGATGAAAATATTTCTTTATTTTCATTGTGAAGAGCAATACAATTCGAAACTTTACATTTTAAAGTTGATTTTATTTTATGCATAACGTCGAATACGTTCACTGTGCTGTCAAACTGATCACAGAAATAGGTACTAAAGTACCGACAGGTAAACGCACACGAATCGCTGTACTACTACGTTGAATTTAATTATCACCATAAATATAAATATATATAGACGCTTATCGCTCGCTAGGCTTTCCAAGCTTCTAGAAAATTCCAGACGAACGATAAACGCCTATTTTTTAAAAACGTGGGGAAATCACAAAAAATTTTGAAAATTGAAAAAATTATATAATTAATAATAAAATATATAAAAACTATATGGGCAGAATATTTTTAGTATGTTGCGGCTATATCTAGATAATCAGATCTGATTTATCTGTATTGCAAAAAAAAGTGGCAATATCAATTAAATCTGGTATTTAATGATAACATATTTTAACGAGCCGTTAACATATACAGAGCCGAAATCCGTTAAAACGTATAAAACGTTTATACTACTTAATATTTTTAACGGGTCGTTAAAACTGATAATGGTCCGTTAAATTGTTAACGATCGTTTATGCGACCCGGCATTAGTGTTCTTCGGGTGTTTAACGGATTACCCCCCAGCAATCTAAAGTTGCATTGTTAAACGCGACCTGTCCAGGTGATATTAATTTCAGATTATTTATCATTTTCGCTTATCGTTTCTTGGCTTTTTTCATAGCAGTACATATTTGACTTTTCGAGAAAAACTCGGACTAAAATAAAGACTCGGACCTTTATTTCTGCCCTCCCGTGGGACGAAGTGCAAATGAGGTTCTTTTACAGAGTAAACATTTCAAAAATACCATAAATAATGTTTTTTTTTTTTAATCCGTATTGTTTGGAAGAGACATTGTCATTATAATAGAAACATTATTTCGCTTATGATAATAAAACCATATCGTAGAACATAAAAAACAGCTACATGTTAATGTCGCGAATTTAATTTCACGGGAGAATCGACGGGGGGTTTTTTGTTTTTTTTTTTTTTTTATATATTCCCGGCGGACGTATTCGTTTATATTAACCGTGCGACCTCCTCCGACCACGGTACCTTCTTCCTTCCGGTGACGTTTCCTCCACGCGCTCCCGTGCATCCGTCTTCCTATACTGCCGTCGCCGTCACTTCCTTCCCGATCATCGCGAGCCCGCGCGCGCTCGACACACGCGACGCGACGGACAGTCGCGGCGAGTAAAACTTTGCGTCGCGGCGGGGTGGGAATCGCGCGCGCCCTAATTATTATATGTGTTTACACGCAAATTACACGCCCGGAACCGTACAACCGTATAAATAAGGCGAATTATCTCTGCACGAAATAGCTGCTAGTCTACGGAGGAGGCGACACACATAAATTAACGGATCTCCGTGACCGGGCGGCCGCGGGAAACGAACGTTTCACTCGTCTAGTTCCCTTACACATGCTCTCTCCTACTACCCCTTCCCTCTCCCTCGGGGGTCCGTTCTACCGCACCCCCTACCCACGACCGCGACTTACCCTTTGCACTGTGCGCGCGTCTCCAGTGCGTGTACCTTTAAACTTTAAATTGCAAATTATTCATTATAATAAGTTGCCGAGCGCGCGCGTGAAAATCCGACACTGCACCGCGGTGTACAAAAATGTACACAGTCCACAACTTGGTTGTCTTGGCTTAAATTACAGTAACGTAATATTAAAAAAGCGTGCTGTCACCTTGTAATTTAACTATGAAAATTGTTTTGCAGCCCATAATAGCTGTTTTAAAATTATAAAATATTTTATGCAAATTTTTACTTTAAATTTAAATTTAAATAATAAGTATTATATTTTATTTGTGTAAACTATTTTAAAAATACTTTTACTGAAATCAAGAAAAATAAAATTAGTGAAAATATTTTATTATGCGTGAACGGCCGTAAGTGTATGTTAATCGTCACTTTTACATAGTAGAATCTTCTCTTGTCAAATAGTTAATGCCGCTACACAACGTTAGTTTTTTTTTTTTTTTTTTTTGACGTTTACGGCCTCTAAGGCTATTTCATATAACAAGTTATTCTCCATATCTATTTGTCCTACTTAACTCTAGTTGGAGAAAATCTGTTAGGAATCAGGGAAATATTTTAAACAAAGTGTCTACACAAAAAACACAAATTCCTGGGGTGGGGGAGTGTTATAATAATTAAATTTATCTTACTTTAAGATTCTGAATTGAGCGAGCAATGTATTGGTTTTACAATGATGTTTATTTTTTCATTTAATGTTTTTTTTAAAATCTATAAACAACTTTATTACCAGAAATCTTACTCCGATTTACAAGTGTACTTCTTTTTCTAAAAGGAAATCCGACTGGGGAGATACTTTAGGGAGGCATTTTTTTGATTTCTCCAATAAATGAGAAAAACCGGGGGGAAAAAACTGAGGAAAAACGGGGGAAAAGGTACAATATTAAAGAAATATTATTAAATAAAATGCTATATTACGTAATATGACATTTATATATTATATTGTTGACAAAGCAACACTTTCGACCGAGCTCTGCTCAGAATCTTTTTTTTGTTAACAATGGTTAATCGTTTCATATAGATATATATTAAATTTTTCCTCTACTACCTTCCCAACTTCTCATCTAAATCAGTGGCCCACCCACGTGCGAAGCATGTCCGTTTTTTTTTTTATTATTATTATTATAAAAAAGTAATTTATAAAACCAACTATCGATTTGTCGAATTAGGTAGTTGTCAACATTGTAACAAATGGCCCTGCTCGTCCTCACGTTTAATACGCATATTACGAAGAATAATTCGTAAATATTGATCGTACAATACGAAAATACGATGTATAATGAACGTATACGAATGAAGGTAACAGAA